CAACTTCATCTTAATCTCAAGAAAGTGGAGACGCAGTCTACTTGACACAAGGTCAAGAAGAGGAGCAGATGTAGGTTCAGACCACTCACTATCTAGTGCAAGGAAGTTGCCTTCCAAATCAAGTTGAAAGCCTTCCCATAAGTTGGTGATAGACCGCAGTTCAAGTACAACACTCGGAAACTGAAGGAAGAAACTACAAAGGAAGTCTTCACGGTAGCCATCAAGACAAAATGGGAGATATAGAGCAACACCCCTGAAGAAACCTGTGTGGAAGAACACTGGAAGTCTTTGAAAGCTATGTGGAAAGAAACCTGCACAACCGCATTAGGAAGAAAGAAGAAAGAAGACAATGAATGGAATGTATCTCAACAGACACACGGAAGCTGATAGAGCAGGGAGAGTAAGGTGGTGATGGTGAAGCAGAAGATAAACCAGTGCAGTGCAAGGATGAACGATGAGAAGAGAAACTGAGTACAATGTATAAAACACTGGACAAAGAAGTGAAGTAGAGTGCACGCAAAGACGAAAGACACTTCCACGACACACAGGCAAGTGAAGCAGAACAGGCAGCAGGTAGGGGAGACAGAGACCTCACAACATTGTATCATATAACCAAGTTACTATCTGGGTGGGGACAGATCAACACAGATGAAACCAATAAAAGATGATGAAGGAAATTTGATTACGAAAGAAGAGAAACAAAGGAAACGATGGGCCGACCACTTCACGAAGCTCTTGAATCGACCACCACCACCACCACCTGCACTTCGTCCAGAAATACCACCAACAGCCCAGTCACAGAACTACAAGTGAATAAAAATCCTCCAACAAAAGTCGAAGTCGTGAACGCCATAAAGCTATTGAAATGCGGGAAAGCAGCAGGACCAGATAGGGTCCCTCCAGAAGCACTGAGAACAGACGCAGAGACAACAGTGGACATGCTCACACCACACCACTATTGCATAAGGTGTGGAAGGAGGTAAGGGTACCTGGCGATTGGCAGAAGGGTTACCTTGTAAAACTCCCGAAGAAGGGCGACCCAAGTCTTCGCAAGAACTGGCGCGGAGTCATGCTCCTGTCCACTCAAAGCAAGCAAAATATTAGGCTGCATCATCCTAGAGAGAGAGGCCAAACGGTGTTCTGGATTCAAAACTACGACCGGAACAGGTTGGCTGGCTGGATTCAGGAAGTACAAATCATGTGAGGACCAAATTACAACGCAATGCAACGCTACGCATCATCATAGAACAGAGTATAGAATGGCAGTCAACTCAACTCTACCTCAACTTCATCTACTTTGAGAGGGCCTTTGACAGCGTCGACCGAAAAGTAATTTGACAGGCAGTTGCTTCAACACTACGCAATACCACAAACCTTTATCAACCTCATTCAACAACTACATGAAGACGCCACATGCCAAGTGATTCACAATGGGAAGCTCAGCTCAGTGATGCTTTTGAAGTGAAGACAGGAGTAAGACAAGCCTGCTGTCTACTATCACCCATGATATTCCTGATTGTGTTTTGGTCGACTGGACTGGATCATGCAACAAACAGTGAGGAGCTGTGAGAAGAGTGGGATACGCTGCATGGCAGAGAAGAACCTAGAAGATTTGGATTTCGCCGATGATGACTTGTGCCTGATGTCACACAAACTTGAAAATCTACAGGCGAAAACTAACAAGTTGACAGAGGAGGTGAGGCAGGGCAGTGAAGGAAGACGGGACTTCAAGTGAACGTAGAGAAGACAGAGGGGGTGATGAAGATACCCAACCAACAACACCATCACCAACAACAACAACAAGCTCCAATCACCACCAACAGGAGAAACTTGAAGGAAGTAGCCTCTTCCACATATCTAGGAAGCATTGTCTCGACTACAGGTGGCACAGATGAGGATGTCAAAAGCAGGATGGGAAAGGCAGCAAGACAGGTGTTCACTAACCTGAAACCAGTGTGGAGATCTTCTGCATTACACTCAGCATAAAGTGTGAACAACATCCGGATTTTCAACACCGATGTCAAGTTAGTGCTGCTTCATGGTTGAGAGACTTGGCATGTTACCAAATGGAATTTCCAACAAACTACAGACATCCATCAACAACTGCGTACGCTGGCTCGTTACTGTTATTGAAGATCAGATGTCCAGAATAATAATAATAAGCGATAAGGAACTGTGTGAACGAACCAACGAATCAAGAGGCTATCGCTGAACAAATATGCAGTGGAGGGGAGTTGAGATGGATTGGGCATAGACTGAGAAGGCCGACTGGGGAGATCACGCTCGAGGCCGTGCCGTGGAGTGGAACTCAAATGGGAACCGACGAGATGTGCGTCCAAGATGAGGGTGACGTGTGGGAGGTTGACAGAGGAAGAAATGTGAGCCTGTGGGCTGTCATGGAGTCAGGTTGAAAAGATTTCAGAGAATAAAGTGGAATGGAGACGTGCTACTGAAGCTTTATGTTCCTTTAGGCACCACAGGTGCAAATAATAATATTATAATAATATTGAGGAGATGATATGATGTCTGAAGTTGTGGGGTTGTTGAAATTGCTGTATTAATTTTCGATTTCATACCGGATGGTTGCCTTGCTGAGTGGAAATCAGGAGTGAATAGCAATACAGATTAGCGAAATCGAGAGGCATGATGTGAAACTCACAGGAACTCTTTGAAGTAGTTGGTCTCAGTGTTGGAGCCATGGGAATTGAATCGTTTGTTTTCGTGGCATCTTTGTTACCAGTTTCATATTCACTGTTACTTGTGATTCCGTGTTCCAGGTCGATGTCGTAATGTTGCACTGGGTGTGAAAACAGACAGGAGAGCAATGGGTGAATTGTGCAATCGTGTTATCGTTGTCTTGTTTATGCATGAAATTATAAGAAGGTCATACATAAGAGGTAAGGCAATAATAACTGCAATTAATTTCAATTATGTTGAGGAGATGATATGATGTCTGAAGTTGTGGGGTTGTTGAAATTGCTGTATTAATTTTCGATTTCATACCGGATGGTTGCCTTGCTGAGTGGAAATCAGGAGTGAATAGCAATACAGATTAGCGAAATCGAGAGGCATGATGTGAAACTCACAGGAACTCTTTGAAGTAGTTGGTCTCAGTGTTGGAGCCATGGGAATTGAATCGTTTGTTTTCGTGGCATCTTTGTTACCAGTTTCATATTCACTGTTACTTGTGATTCCGTGTTCCAGGTCGATGTCGTAATGTTGCACTGGGTGTGAAAACAGACAGGAGAGCAATGGGTGAATTGTGCAATCGTGTTATCGTTGTCTTGTTTATGCATGAAATTATAAGAAGGTCATACATAAGAGGTAAGGCAATAATAACTGCAATTAATTTCAATTATGTTGAGGAGATGATATGATGTCTGAAGTTGTGGGGTTGTTGAAATTGCTGTATTAATTTTCGATTTCATACCGGATGGTTGCCTTGCTGAGTGGAAATCAGGAGTGAATAGCAATACAGATTAGCGAAATCGAGAGGCATGATGTGAAACTCACAGGAACTCTTTGAAGTAGTTGGTCTCAGTGTTGGAGCCATGGGAATTGAATCGTTTGTTTTCGTGGCATCTTTGTTACCAGTTTCATATTCACTGTTACTTGTGATTCCGTGTTCCAGGTCGATGTCGTAATGTTGTACTAAATGTCAAATCAGACATGAATCGAATCTGTTATCATGAAAATGTGTTTTTGGTGTTTCATTTATGTACTGAAGTTGGAAATGTTTAGATTTTTTAGATAGCATACTGGTGATTTACGCTCGATGCTTTTGTTTTCGAGTGATACATAGACAGCATTGGTTTTTTGCAGAAAGGATGCCTATTTGTAGTTACACGCCTTGTTTAAAGTACTTGCATTTGACAATCACTCTCTATTGCAGTGTCGTCTGTAACTTGTGGTTTTAGTGCTGAGGTATTCTATACAATAATTTACTTGAGTCTTAGTTTGATTTCTGTGAAAGACAAGATTCTCAGAGCAGATGTTTTGAGGCGAAAGTGCACTCTATTTTAAGGGAAATGTAGGAAGACTGAGCATTTTTTATTCGTGTTCTGTGTAGTTCGATTGGCTGGTTTTTTCAGTTACACGTCTGTCAGAGATACACGATATGCGGGCACAACACTTCAACATACATTTAGAGTTCATCCACTTAGGTTAATGATTCAGAGATAATATTTATATGGTGACATAATTCCGCAGATGTAACATGCGAATTCATGGTATTAATTTCAGTCTTAATACATATGTTGCATAAAATGCCACCTGAAGCTCTAAAAGTAACCAGTTAAATGAATAATTATAGTCTATCCCATAGATGTAAGCATCAACGAAATATTGGACTGTAATCTTAATATATTCTGAAGACTTTTTATCTCTTCAGCAAGTCACTAATATGTAGCAATGAAACATCCTCTACATTTCACTTTTTCTATTCGCAGTATTGGTCTATGTTTAACGACAATAAAATTCTTTCAGTAGTTCAACTTCAAGCTTTTTAAAAGGATGGATAATAATTGGTAGTAAAATCAAGAACACACGTTTTACCCTACTTAAACCTCATCAGGTGGACTGCCTACATCCCACTGGTTAATGGTGTTCCTCATTGACACTCAAACCTGGCACTGATTGCTTTAAACGGCGGGAAATCGTCTAATAAACTAATATGTCGTAATAACGTCTACTTGAACAATGGTCTAAACCATTCAACAACTGAAAATAACATTTCCTAATGGATAACCTTAGATTTGTTGTAAAAATAAATGAAAAAGCGTTTCATTGATAAGCTTTTTTTGCTGAATGTGAGTTCAAACGAGAAAGGCCTATATGTTAATTCACAACAACCTCAATACAAGTGTTGGATTACGTGACTTGAATGAATATTTGGTATACGTGCACATTTTTTTTTATTTAAATGGATCTTTTTATTCTTTGGTTGTTTGGTGTAACTTTGCATTGCACTATTAGGCTGTTTGGTATCTACTAGGCTTATTCTAATTTATGCCTGTCTCATCTATAAGTTCTGTTGGGATGATTGCGTTATTTAATAGTTTGCTTATTGTGAATAGAACAAAAATTTTAAAATGAGGCTGACAATATGGTAGTTTATAAGCGTAGGTAGTTAAATCAAAAAACACAATAAACTCACCTGGAATTTCAAGAGTAGATGTAGGCAGTATTGTTATTATTGAGTTATCCTCACTTTGAGGAGCAATGATACATTTCAAAGTGTCTGTATGATTTCCAGTGCTGGTATTCTCATTCATTTCATTATTATTTGTTTCTTCAACCATATCTTTCAGTGTGAGCTTACTCTGTATATTGTTGAATTTAAGAAGAAATAGAAATATGCAAAACATAGAAACATTTCATCAGTGTCTCTGTGTGACAACAAAAAAGGTAACAGTTACATTTAGGAAGAAAGACATTATAATCGATTACAGTTGATGTGCGTTGTAACGATCGAATTGAAAGACAATCCATTTATTAGTTTTTAAGATGAGAGAACAAATGTAAGATGAATGAAAACTGTTGAACTTTGGGAGTTCATGCACGTCTACTGTATTACAACAAATGTACAATGGAACCTGACTCAGAACAAGGGAACTCAACTTTATATGGGTCGCTTTATGTGTAGTCTACCTTTTGTACACTGTGAAGCGTGAATGCATTTTTAAATATCAGTAAATACGTATGAAAATGAAGTTGTTTTCAATATAAATATAAATTGAAATATAATGAGAAACTTAGGGGACTGTCGGGAAACAATCCCTAACTGTTCAAGAAGTCTCGGAGAACCATCTTTACAAATTCTAACCGCATACTTCATCTTTCAGATTATGACTACAATAATCCTATTCATTCGATACAATGTTCTTTTCTACGATTTAGAACTATGCAGATAAAGCGACAGCAACTTTGGTAAACTGAAGTAACGCAAAGGGTGGTTATAAGCACCAATCGTTGTTGTGATCGAAAACAAATTTTTTCCTTGTCTTTTATTTATCAAGAACCAAACAACTGAAAACAAAGCCAAGAATGCTAAGTTTGAAGAAAAAAAGTTTCTTGATTTAAAGATATAAATTATATGAAAAGAAAATATATCTGTTTGTTGAGCAGGAAAAACATGGAATCTCGGAAGATTTACGATAACAAAAAGGCAGGCAATAATATACGTATAAGTAATAACAGAGTAAACCGTCTTTTTTTAAATGCTTGAGAAGATTTGATGTTGCCTCCATGAGAAAAATTCCATAAACTAACACCATTAGAGTTCTGAAATCTCCATCTTTTATATGGCAAAAAAAAAATCTATCATAACGCGTCATTTTGACTGTGTCATTTAATTTGGCATATGTAGCACATGACTCTGTAATTATATAACAGGTGACTCGAAGTCTAGCAGTCTTTGCAATGTAATGGGAGTTAAGCAAGTCAACATCTCGGCATATTTTGCTGTTTAACACAACATCTACCACATTTTTATGGATACTGTAACATAATAATTAAGTTTGGAAGGAAGTGAAATGAACCTGAGGCTTTAGTATTCTGAAATACCATTTCACTACAATTGGAGATTGTCTAATACATAATTCTACAACAGCAGATAAAAAGCAAACTTTGGAAGAGAAGCACATTTTAAGTTTTAAGATGCCTACAAAATAAGCATGAGCCAGTGTTCTCGATCACATATAATTTGCAAATTCAAAGAGTAGTTGAAAGTGTATTTTTATTAGCAACTATCACTATATAAAACTTTTTCATGGTGTAATTTTAAGAAACCCGATGAAGTATTTCACAGTAGATGCACATATTGTTATGATATCACTTATAGATGATTGAATCATATGCACCACATTGTACATTTGCCAGTCTACAGTCTAAGAATTTGTCATGTGTGTAGCTATATCATCAAAGAGTTGACAAGAAGTTAAATAACCACTAAATTTTCTATGCGGATGAAGTTGTGTTACTTGTAATTAGAAAAGGAAAGAGTAGAATACGACTGATTAGTATTGTAGATGTTCGTATCATCAACAATAAGGTGCACCAACTTCGAGTTCTGATGATACTATGTGGTTCTCAGACCTCAGAAAGTAGAGCATGGATAAAACACATGATAGTGTTTCTAAGCTAGGCGTCTAGATGTGCTAGTTGCACATACGTTTTATGGGCGAAGGTGTCCACAATGGGAGTCAGTCATTTGGAAGTGGTTATAAATTACGACAATCTAGAGAACTTCAAATGTTTCTTATGACTAACCTATGTCAATTAATAGTGATGAAGACAAATTATTGAGAAAATCACATATCTTTTACTTGTAAAGAATGAGAAAGTAAATTAACTTCATTCATATTTGGTCTTCGTGTTTCAACGCGAACTACAATGGTGACTGGAGCAGTTGCTTTTAAAATTTAAGGTGATAGGGTTAACAAACTATTCCAGGCATTGAAAGTTCTCTGTCACGAGTCTATAAGCGATTATGGATTTCAATTTACATAGATTTCTACGAACCAGGGTGTGTGGTCTTCACACTTTAAGTAAACAGAATTAAGGAAGGATTCACGATAAAAGGTACATTTACTGTCTAGGACTATGTACAGCTATGGACTGTTGAAATCCTTATCATTATTATTCGTATTAATTTACGAAAATATAAATATAATTCCCCTTTCAGTGTCCTAAAGTTTTATCCTTAACTTTCATGTATGGTATGTAGAATATAAACAGAAAAGGATATAACTTTCTAATCAATTCATAGAGCTTTTAGAATGACAAAGTAATCAGCTTATCAAGTTATCTTGTGATATCCAGGCTACAGACAGATAAAAGTGATCAAGTACAACACTGTTTGATGCTTGAAAAACTCATATTCTTCTTGAACACATGATAGTTACCAACTTCTAAGTTAGTAAAAATTTTAGAAAAAAACGTTTATCTGGACATTCAAGAGAATGTATTTTTTTAAGTGATTTACACTAGTAGCATATTTAAGCAACAATAAATCTTATTACATAAAAACAAACATCAGGTCATTTTTCAAATGAACATTTCACGATATAGTCAAAAGTAATAAAAAGCCAATTAAACAGCTCCTCGTTATGAAATCTTATTAGAAATTAATAAAACGTTTATTCATGAACGATGCTGATTTACTATGATCTAATTTCCATTCCAAGGATCTTAAGTTTTTACCAGTGTAGCTTAACAAGACACAAAAGCAATAACTTAGTAATGAACTGTGTGCAGATAATATATATGCACAGAAATTTGAGATTATACATTTTGATACTTACTTCAAGTAAATAGATATTGACTGTTATCACACACCTGTGTACGGATTACTTATACGCTATCATTCTTAACTTCATGTTGTTATATACTGTTTGAAACACTTCTATGTTATATGGACACGTATATGTGCACAATCATTGAATAGTATTTGTTCATTCATCGAACGACTAGACTAAGTTATTAAATTAAATTTTGTATGAATGCCTACCAGTTATATGAAATTCCAAGTTAATTAGGTTGATACATTTTTTGTAATTAAACAATAAATATGAGCTCAAACGACAACGTACACAATTTAGCTCAATTATATTTCCAAAGTAGTATATCCAAATTTGTTGAATTACAACAGTTTATCCGAGTGAAAAAAAACTTTGTGCAGAAAATTTGAATAGTGTAGTCAAACTAATTTAGCAATTTTCAAATGAGCTGAACACAGGTATCTAGATTTCCTTAGTATCTATCCTCACACAGTTGTGACGATTTATACAAGAATAAATCCTAATGACTTTCATCATTTATAGAGGTGGATGAACGTCATAGCTGAATCCACAGTCTTTTAAGATGACTTCAATTTAAGAAATCAGTTTATCAGCCATGTTCACTGACAGCTTGAATGAAAAGGCTGATGTGAACACTATTATCCGATGTAAAGCATTGCATTTCATGATCAAGAAATGCAAAAATAAAGATTACATATTCACATTGGAAATAACTTGATGTATAGTGTCTCTGCAAAGTTTGAGTGACTTTGTTTGTCTGACATTATTGCTGAATTATTGGACGAACATTTTTTCACGTAAACATCTTCCAGAATTGTTTATATGCCTTGGACGATTATAAAATATTTAATTTCTCAATCAAAACATTTTTTGTCTGTTTTCCCTTGTTTTCAGACTGAAATATCTTGAAAAGTTCTACCTGGCACTTGTAAGATGGTAATTCAACATTGGTGATACTACACACTTCAATGTGATTGACTAGTTACAGTTTGTTGAAATATCTTTTGACCCAATAAAAAATTAGTTCTGATATACATGTTCACTTTCTGAAATTTTACAGAGAAAATTATTTCTGCACAACAGTCATATTAGAACTTCTTTCCCATTTCTCAGAGGACTATATGTTTAAATGAGACTGTCTTCTTCATATATCTGAAGTATGTTTTCACTTATACTCCAATATTTCAACAGGGTTAAAACATTACCATTCTTAACCTTCATGGAACTATTGATTTACACATACTCAAGTGCTGTTATTCAAATCATGCTGTGTAGAAAGATTCTTATTTCACACTACAGAACAATAACTAGATGTTTTGATATACAACGAGGTTCCAACGTCGCTAGGAGGGATTCCAGAACCTTTGGAGAAAGAATTAGTAAAGCACAGAATAAAAGATATCTTCGGATTTATTTCTAAGCTAGATAATATGAATTGAAATGAAAAACGTGTGATGTCGCTTGATATCTCTTTATTCACTAATGTGCCATTACTGGAGACGGTAGAGCTTCTGTGTTAACAATTTTCGGAAAGACAAATCAATGTCGGAATTCCAGTGCACATCCGCAAAGAGTTGCTTCTTTGGCACACTATGAATGTGGATTTTGTCTTCAACAGCACATAGTATAGACAGATAACTTTGCGTTCACTAAACAGCTCTATTTAAGCTGATATATTTCCTGTAAAAATAGAGAATGGATCATTGAAATATACCATTAATACAGTGAGTTGGTAGCCCCGTTATATTTATGACATATTAATTATCCTTGACCAAAATGTCGATAGAAACGAAGTGTTAATAAGATTTAATGAAGTGCAACCTTCACTCACTTTCAGGTGTAAAAAAGAAAATTCAGGTAAACTACACTTTTTGGTTGTCTTGTCAAGCAGAAAAGATGGTGGCCCACTCTAGAGATGCTTTTGGGAGAAGGCTACATCCATCACTGAGTATTCACATTTTTAAGCCACGTACTCATTCGGTACAAAACAAACGTGATGA